CCAGGGTTAGTCTTTGAGATTTGTCTTAATTGCGTATTTGACATTGGAGCAGTATCAAGCTAGGATGCAAGTCTGCTTTTGAATTCAGCAGCTTTTTTAAGATGAAGCCACAGAAGAGCAACTCCACTGAACTTTGTCTGAGGTACATACTTTGTAACTAAATCTATTTAAATAGATCCTTGTGAATGTAGTTGTTTAAATTTTTTCCCTACAAAGTTACTGCATGCATGAATCATTTACTTTGTTCCCACATCTAAACAAACAGCAACATCACATGCCCCAAGTACACACACATAAGCGTAGAGGTGTATTTATAGGTAGTCAAGAATTTCTGTTGCTAAGCAAGGCAGTGAGTCACACCCAATTTTACTTTTTTTTTGCCATGGCTGTTACGTGAATCACACAGTAATTAAGTAAATTTGGGCAAAGGGAGGCTCAAAAAAATTTCAGTCATAAATTATCTCTAAATCCTGCCTTTTCTAAGGAAAAATGACTTCTTTATTCAAATCCCAGCCAGTGTGCTGGAATTCTGAGACCTGAAAATACACACATTTTAAAAATTGCTAAGGAGAAGTATTACCTTAGGTGAGCTTTAACCACTTATGTAAATGTCAACAAATTAATCTTGACCTACCTTAAGAGGAGGGGTGAAATCTTATGGAGAGCTAAATTTTCTAGAATACATTTAAATAACACCTTATAAGAAAGATGGTAATTTTGAAAGCAATAAGGTTAACTGTGAAACATCAGCATCAGACAGAGAAGGAAACTTTCCATCTGTCTAACTTGATATCAAATCTCTTTTCCAAAGGCATATGAAGTGGGATGTGCAGTAAAAGAAATTTTCTGGGCCAGAAGAATCTAATTCTTCTTAACTCCAGAAATCCTGCTTGAAGAAATAAAAACTCACCAGAAATGTTAACAAAAAGGATCCCTGGATTTGCAAAGCATAAGGGGGCCAATAGCCAAGAGGCAGAAGACAACTGGGTATTTATGACGTATATCCTAGGAAGACTAAAAATTTGATGTCTGCAATAACTGGAAATTAGAAGTTGTGTTGCTGCACAGTAGGTTTTTGTATACTGCACAAATTAAACCGCTTTTAAGTCCTCCCCAAAGAGACACGATGACTCAGTGGCTAAGAAGCTGACCTTGCTGATCAGAAAGGTCAGCAGTTTGAATCCCTAGCGCTGCATAATGGAGTGAGCTGCCGTTACTTGTCCCAGCTTCTGACAACCTAGCAGTTCGAAACATGTAAAAATGCAAGTAGAAAAAATAGGAACCACCTTTGGTGGGAAGGTAAGTGTTCCGTGCACCTTTGGCATTTAGTCATGCCGGCCACATGGCCACAGCGCTGGCTCTTCAGCTTTTAAACGGGAAATGAGCACTGCCCCCTATGACTAGCACATATATGCGAGGGTAATCATCCCATCAAAAGGCAGGGTATAAAATTTCAACTCTATAAAGGGAAAGCTAATAATACTGTTAACTATCATTATACAGCTGGTTTAGAATTGTAGAAATTTAAGTTTGCTGCTTTGCTAAGCATGCATTTAACGGCATTCACTAAAGCTACAACACTAAGAATGCATTTAACACTCAATACAATGCCTGGCTCATCCTGTAATCCAGGAGTCCCCAACACCCAGACCATGGACAAACACCAGGGCACACAAACAAGCGAAGCCCTATCCACAGGATGCAGACAGCACATGAAACTATGTCCCCTCCAGTATGTGGAAAAACCTCCCTGATACTCAAGAGGTTGGGAGCTGCTGCTATAATCCACTCTGATTGCATTAGCTGC